GCAAATATAGTACAAAAGGATTCTTGATTTCTTACCAATTCATTTGACATGAAGCAGATTCCTGTAATAAGAAATTACATTACTAAAATTGCAACAGATTTGAACATGAATGCATTTTATATAGAACAATAACATCGGTCACTCACCAGTAAGGTAGTCTTCAACATCAAGGCAAAACTCAGAATTCACTGCATTACCCATCAAAAGCAATTGCATTAAATTAATTAACACTTTAATTTAAGGTATTTTATAGATTTGCCAATGATTGTTCAAAAGAAAGACTCACGCTCTAGTTTTTGCTCCATTTCTGTATGGATTAGAAGGCTTCCTGTTTCTAGCCAATGTGTAAAAGCAAGGAGAGATACTACTTGCTGTGTCTCACTTCGCCAATCACCATGATACCTGTTAGTGAACATTAACAACAAGAAGAAGTGATAGTAAGTGGTTATGCAAATTAATAAGTGATAATATATCTGTAACTGTTGAAAATCACCTGTAGTATTGCCCAGGTTGTTCACCAACAATTTCTGCAAGCTTACTGAAAAGCTGCTTCAATTTGTCAACCTGAGAGTTAACCTTCTCTAGAACCGCTGATTGTAAGGAAAAAAGGGAAAGAATAAGCACAAGTTATATCGATATTATTTCTAGCTAGTAGACCCAAACTGATAATGTATTATAGAACCAACCGATTGCTTTCAAACAAAATTGCAATGGCAGCCAAATAGCCCCTAAATCCATCTCGTTTTACACATTACAACATCAGTTAGTTCATTTTATGATCGCATTAACCGATTGCTTACAGAATGTTTGAAATGCAGCCAATGACATGTTTCTCCCTAAATCACTCAGTTCAATGTATGATCATATTAACATGTTTCCCCTCACTCTCAGAGTAAACGACAACGAGACAACATATGAACATCACATACGTTAGCCGAAGCGGAAGAGCGTTTATAATTTTAGAAAATGAAAATTAATACCAGGAATAGGGCGAGATTGATGAACAAGAAGAAGAATAGAGTGCATGATCCTCGTAGTCGAATCAATCTCAGTGGAAACAGCTTTGATGCGGTCACGTAAGTTTCCAGATTCTTCTAGACTGTAACGAAACTTATCAAACTGCTTCTCGACTGCTGCGGAAGTAGGGGAGGAGTCACCGGTTGCCATTGAAGTGCAGAAATGGTTGCAGGTAGGTGGCCGCCGCGTGACAGTGGTGGTGCAGTAGATCAGAGGAAGAGAAGCGGTGGCGGAGGCGTTGCGAAGGAAGAAAGGGGTGACGGGGTTAGGGTTTAAGGAGCGATGGGAAAGAGCGGTGGCCAATATTAATGCGGTCCGGTAGGCAGACTTCATCATGATTGTTTAATGGTGTTTTGTGCTCGCTGTGGCCTAATTTTTGCTTTTTACTCTATACTAGGCATTAGATATTTGTACAGGGTGCTTTCATATGTGTACGTTTTTGGATATGACCTCAAAAATGAGACGTAAAATAAACATATTAGCCCATTTGTAGGGCTGTACATAGACCCAAACCCAACCCAACCCATAAATGTTCGGTTTCTGGTTTTCAGAACCCAATAGGATCGGTTTCTGGTCGGTTCGGTTTCTTGGGTTCTAAGGTCGGTTTTTCGGTTTCTTTGGTTCAACCCATACACTCACGGGTTCTGGGTTTAAACCCATGGGTTTTGGGTTTTAACCCATTTTCCAAAAATGAAGCAAAAATTAAAATACATCAAAAACACCAAATTGAAGTTAAATACTTCAAAAAACATGAATCTTACAACCAAATAGTCTACTACAAGTTACAACCAAAGCCTGGAATAGTCTGTTATAACCAAAATACAATCAAGTATGAGTCGGTTTCTCGGGTTGGATGGGTCGGTTTCTTGGGGCGGTTTATCGGTTTTATGTATGGGTCGGTTTCTCGGGTTGGATGGGTCGGTTTCTGGGTAAAAACCGAAACCGAACCCGACTTTTCGGTTTTTAAAAAATTCAAACCCTAACCGTCGGTTTTGCTTCGGTTTCGGTTTCGCATGTTTTAGTCGGTTTCTCAGTTTGTTGGTTTGGGTTTGCTCACCCCTACCCATTTGTATTCTTAATAGCCTTCCATTCCCTTAGGTTGGAGCCAATACGAAGCTAGCAAAAGAGTGGGGTCTTATTGTTGTTCTAAATGGAAAGTGAAATCATTGTCTATTGTCTACTTATACTTGTTGATATAGTTCTCAATAGCCTTTTTTGAGAAATTAAATAATCTCTTACTTTTTCTTGCTATTTATCTTTCTACCAATATAAAATGGTGACAAGTGTTATATTTTGATAAAATTATTTATATTTTAGGACACTTGTCACCATTTCAAATAGGTAGGAAGATATTTAGGAAGAAAAGTAGTAGGATATTTAATTTCTCGCCTTTTTTTATATTATTTTTCACTTTTTAGAGCTCCAAAAAAGATTATAAGTATCCTTGAGGGGACTAGAAGGAGGTTTCTATGGGAAGGTTGTCACTAAGCCAAAAAATAAGTTGGTCTAGGAGTTGGTTCTCTCCACTCCGCTAATTTGGCTCTGCTTGCTAAATGATGGTGGCACTTGAAAAATGGGTACGATTCCTTTTAATTTTCATGTATTAAAAGCATTCACAACATCAAACTTATAGATGGTAAACCTTTGGCAAAAAATCATTGAATGGTGTGTGGTTAAGTATATCTCAACTACACATAGATCTTGGTGATAAAGGTGTTAATTTAAATGATCTTTTTAAAAGAATAGTCGGTATTGGTGCTAAAACTTTCTTTTGGAATGATACATGGTGTGGAGATGTAGCTTTGAAAGATCTTTGTCCTAATTGATATGTGTTAGAGATAAAGAAAGATGGTAAGGTTGTTGATAGAGTGAAAAGGGGTTGATATGGAGACTTGTTGGAACTGGAGACTTGTTGGAACTGAAGTTGATCAATTGTTCCTGCTATTTAATTTGTTAGATTCTTTTCAGTTCTCAACGAGATATGATAAATGGCATTGGGTTGGTGGTGGAGAAAATTCATTTTCGGTAAAAGGATGTTCGATTAGCTATTGATGCTTCGAGGGGTGGTACGGTTACACCATTCATTGGAGTGAACTGGATCTCGCTAAAAATCAATTGTTTTGCGTGGAAGTTGCTTAAAAATGGAATTCTCAATTTAATCGGTCTTTCCAAGAGGGGGGTTACCGTTTCTTCAACTCTTTGTCCCTTCTGTCACTCAATGGATGAAGATTTAGACCATGTTTTTTTCTCCTGTCATGTTACATCGTAAGTTTGGAGTTGGCTGGTCAATTGGTCTTCCATACTTCCGAATATACCCCTACATTGCTTGGAGTTGTTGGAGATGATAAATTCGAGTACTGGAAGTAAAAAGATGAAAAAATTGAGGCTCTCTCTTGTTTACACTACCTTATGAACTATCTGGAAGACTTTAAATGCTATTATTTTTTCATAACGAACAGCGAGCTATCATATGATCATGGCGGACGACATTACTGCTCTTACTTTTAATTGGATTAATAATAGATTTAATCATTGTAAAATAGATTTGGCTAGCTGGAGCATGTCTCCCATCTCGAATGTTTTTTTGTAATATGGCTCGAACTTCTCGTTTAGCCGTCTTTTCGTTTTAATAATATTGTTTGCCGTTCAAAAAAAATTGTATTCTCAACACAAAATATTTTGAATAACAAAAAATAAATGTGAAATAAATGTTGGGTTGTGCAATGATTCCCACAAGTGGAATGTTGATGTGTCATATATGTTCACTAGTAAACACCGTCCTAAGGGGTAGTAGGTGTAATGTGGAGTGAAGCTTGCTAAGCTTGATTACGCCCAATAAAATTAATTCTTTCCAAACGATCAAAAAGCTAGCCAATGAATGCATGTGTTTGTATATATTAAAATAAAAATAAAAAATAAGAAGATAAATAATATGGAATAATAACCGTTTTAAAGGGGTAGTAATATGGCAGTGAACATGTAGTGAAAATAACGTGACGTAGATGTGACGACACTTTTTTAATGGAGATATAATCACTATATCCCTTAGCTTTTAATATCTAAATGATCAATAATCTTCCATCTAACAAATATTTGCTAATTTGTATGTAATAATTGTGTTATGTACGATAATTTATGTTTTAGAAAGGTTATAACAATTATGTTATTATTATATATGAAAAAAGAAAATATTGTGTATAAAAAATCATTTATTATTATGTATGATGTATGGATGAGCTCATAAAGTATCATCTTTTTCCACAAATTACAAATTGGCCATTAATTTTGCAAGATTTTAAGAAAATAAAAGGTCATAATAGCTCTCCACACAAAAAAAAAAAAAAAAAAAAAAAAATTCAAGATGGTTCTTACATTTTAGAAATGATTGTTTTTTAATAAAACGTTTTAATACCTTATTAAGCCTAAGGTATTTTGTGTTTTTTTTGAAGTGGGTTACTTTCATAATTTGCAACTTGACTAATTACGAAAATTGTGATAATTTTTACAATTAGTCAAAAAAATATAATTATTTTGTTAAATGGGACGTCGAAAAGGTTATGCATTGAATTTCTCTAATTTCCATTAACTAGAAATCGACTAAAATAACAATTATGAATTAAAAAATAAATAAAATAATAATAAAAGTTAAAAAAAATAAAAATAAAAATAAAAATCATATTTTATATTTTACTTGGGAAATTTTCAAAAAAGTCCCAAACTTTTGGGAAAAGTTACACTTTTGTCCCAACATTATTTTTTTGAACAAAAAAACCCAGGAAACCGGGTAAATCGAACATTTTGGCCCTATTTTACCGGCAACCCTCATTTAGCCGGTTAAAATTGCTTATGTGGCCAGGAGTGCTTACGTGGGTTTAATCGATCTCATTTACACACACACATATACAATACAACTTACTTCTCTCATTTCACATTCTCCCTCCCCCTCAGTAAACTAGGGTTTTTATCCCCGTGCAGTTGAAATCATGCATGACATCCATGATTTTGATACAATAGATGTGGAGCTGGATGCGTACTTCAAAAAGAAACAAGCTTCCCGATGCAAAGACGAATTTCTCAATATTCTATGTGAAGAAGACGATTACGAGGCAGTAGATGATGCTCAAACTGAAAATCATGCTCAAACTGAAAATGATGCTCAAACTAGAAACGATTCTCAAACTGGAATCACTAAAGAAGAATCAGATGAAGATTATCTAGAACGTAGTAACGAGGAAGATAGTGATGAGGAATTTGAGTATTCCACCCACAATCCAAACGTGAAATGGAACAAAATGAGACCAACGCTTGGTGAAAGGTATGAATCCCCACATGAACTGAAATTGTGTTTAACCAACTATGCTGCTAGTAAGGGTTTTCAAATCCATTTCAAAAAATGTGATAGTATTAGACTAGTGGCAATATGTGGAAGTGATCCAGAGAAGTGTCCATTTGTGGTTAGGGCTTCTTGGATGAGTACTGAAAGGTCTTTCCAAGTCAAAAAGATGACAGACATTCATAAATGTGTTAGGAATTTTAACAATTCAAGGCTTATGGATCCTACCTGGTTAGCTAGGAAATTTGTGAAGGAGTTGATTAAGAAACCTAATTTAAAATGCAAAGAGAGGCAGGTAATTATACAAAGTAAATTTCATGGTCAAAGTGTTATAGATCAAGGATGAGGGCATTGTCATTAATTCATGGGAAATTGAGTGACCACTACGCAAGAGTTTGGGATTATGGGCATGAGCTACTGAGATCCAATCCAGACAGCACAGTTAGGATTACAGTTACTGTAAACCCTGATAATACCATAACATTTCATAGATTCTACATTTGCTTTAAAGCAATAAGAGAGGGGTGGAAAAGGGGATGTCGTAGGGTAATAGGATTGGATGGTTCTTTTTTGAAGAGACAATGTAAGGGTGAACTGTTAACTGCAATAGGTAGGGATGCCAATAATCAGGTGTATCCTATAGCTTGGGCAGTTGTTGATGTAGAGAACAAGAACAACTGGAAATGGTTCCTGGATTTGGTTAATGATGATCTTGGATTGCAGGGTGGAAAGGGTGTGTGTGTAATTAGTGACCAACACAAGGTAAAGTAACTATCTCTTTATTTTTCATTATTTACAATAGTGTATGGTGTTGCTAATTAACTTTTTTTTCATGTTATAGGGTCTTGTTGAAGCTAGTAAGGATATTCTACCATACGTTGAGCACAGGCAATGTGCAAGGCATATCTATGCCAATTTCAGAAAAGTTTATAGTGGAGTGCAGTTCAGAAACATGTTTTGGGCAGCTGCAAAATCTACCACAGAATGAGATTTCAAGTTTAATATGGAAAGGATTAGGGCAATAAGTTCTGCTGCTTATGATCATCTCATGGAAAGGGAACCAACTTCATGGTGCAAGGCTTATTTCTCTACTGGCTTGGCTTGTGAGGCTGTAGAGAATGGGATTGCTGAGTGTTTCAATGCAATCATTGTAGACGCAAGAAAGAAACCTTTACTGACTATGCTTGAAGAGATTAGGCTTTACATGATGGAAAGGGCTTTCAATCTGAAACAAGAGGCTGAAAAATGGGTTGGTGAAGTTTGTCCTTCCGCGATAACAAAGATGGAAGAATTTGGAGAAGACATTAAGTAAGTATTCTCAATTGTTTTGTTTTTACATGTTCTATCTTACGTGTTTGCATCTTATGTTCTATCTTATATGTTTGCAGAAGTTGGTATGCAGTTCCAAGTGGAGTGAATGAATATGAAGTAAGGAATGGGTTTCAAAACTATGGAGTTAACTTGAAGGAAAAAATGTGTGCTTGTAGATTATGGGAACTTTCAGGAATACCTTGTGTGCATGCACAAGTGGCAATATTGTACACCAATCAAGATCCACTTAACTTTATAAGTAGTTGGTTCAGCAAGAATAATTACAAGGCAACTTATGATCAGAATATACACCCAGTCAATGGAAGTATCTTATGGGAAGAAACAAGTTACACTAAGCCCCTTCCACCCATTGAAAGGAGGATGCCAGGAAGGCCTAGTGTTAAAAGAAGAAGACATGTTTCAGAAAATCAAGACAAGTACTCTCAAGTGTCAAGCAAGGGTAGAACTGTCCAGTGTAAAAATTGTCTACAAAGGGGACACAATAAAACATCATGCAAGAATCCTACAGTGGTTCCAGAACCTCAACCAAAAAAAATGGGCAGGCCTAGGTTGGAACCTGATTTGCTTAATTGGTCAGGAACTAAAAGAGGATCTAGAGGTGGTGGAAGGGCTGGTGGAGGAAGGAGTAGAGGTGGTGGCAGGGGATCTAGTGGAAGAGGCAATAGAGGTGGTGGTAGGGGATCTAGTGAAGGAGTCCAAACAGAATATGGGAAGGGTACTTCTGAGTTTCCTAAATGTGAGCCTGAACATGTTGCCATTCCAAATGTTGAGAGTGAAAATGATGCAAGTCCAGATTTTCACAATCATATAAGCTTAACAATTGACAACCTAAGGAAATCTTTATACACTTCAGAAGAGATCATTGACTGTCTTGGACTCAATGAAGCAGAATTACAACAAATTGAAGGTCTTGGATTGAGTGAAGCAGAATTACAACAAATTGAAGGTCTTGGATTGAGTGAAGCAGAAGTACAACAAATTGAAGATGCGGATGTTGCTATGTCACAAGTATGCTTTCTCATTATTCATTTTGTGATGTTAAATCTTGCTAACTGGCCTTTTTGTTATGCTTGTTACAGGATATTGGAATTGGTAGCCAAATAACAGTTGAAGATCTCCCTACAACTCAAGCACTTGGAGATGAGGAAATGATGAATGAGGAGGATGGCATAGATGAGGCAGGGATGGGTGAGGTAATGATGAATGAGGAAAGGATGGATGGTGAGAGAGAAATACCTATCACACAACAAGTGAATCAAGTCAGAAGGAAGACTACAAAGAGGAGCAATGTGCATCAAGTCAGAAGAAGGAAGCCTTCGGAAAGGATAACAGAGATCAAGTTGCAAAAGGTGGTAGCTGTCAAGAATGGAAAGGGGATGAGTTCATCCAACCCCCTTAGTCTAGATTAGGGTGTTTCTAATCCCTAATTTTGTTAAGAACATGTATAAAACTTTTGGGTTTGGGTAAATGTTGATAGCCCTTTTTGTTTACATCCATATAAACTATAGGCTTTGGGCCCCTTGATCATATTTTTGGGCATTTACACAACTTGCCATAAAACTTGTTTGGCTTTGGTTAATATTACTACATGTTCTATAATTAACAATGTTTATGTTCCCTTTGGTTATATTGATTCCTTGTTTTATAGATTCCAGTCATGCATACATTACTTGTGCTTTCAATGTTTGCTTATATGGATACTAGTTATGCATGATTCCAGTCATGCATGATTCCGGTCATGCTTGATTCCGGTCATGCATGATTCCAGTCATGCTTGATTCCGGTCATGCATGATTCCAGTCATGCTTGATTCCAGTCATGCATGATTCCGATCATGCATGATTGACTCCATTATGTATTGATTCGTTTTATTTAATGACTCATTATGTATTGAGTCCTTTGTGTATCAAGTCCATTATTAACTTATTACAGGCATACTTTGATTCCATTCATTGATTACAATCAACACATTTAAAGTTCATACATAAACTAGTTACTTCATTCATAATCAGATGAGTCACAAGATACTACATTCATAGTAAACTAACAACCCTTAGTCATAACCAAAACAAACACAACCAAAATACATTAAAACAACTTTATATCCTACCAATCCATCAACATAACCAACAAAAACACAAAAGAAACCACAGATACATAAAGCAATGATTTCCATCTTCCTCTTTCCACTGCTTGTTGTGCAACTGGTTGTTGTGTCATTGGTTGTTCCACAACGTCTCCAAAAAAGTTCCCAGCTGGTTGTTCTTGCCCAAACTCCCCAAATATTCGATGGTTCTCCAAATTGACATTGTTGTGTGATACTAATAACAGATCTGCATACCACTGGCTTGGTAGATGAGGATCCACCCAACAAAAGTACTTGCAATCTTTGAGTCCATTCTGGTAATTTGGGCATCCTATAAACCTTCTTTATGGGTTTAATGGAGTCCATGAAGTCCATCTTCCTACAAGATCACCACAGTAGCACCTCTTTCTGAGACGATTCATTGAAGATGAAGAAGACGAAGAAGGCATTTGTAACGCCCGTAGATCCGGGCTAGACAATTTAGAGACGATAAGCGTCAAAAAAATGACTTTTTGATAAAAGATTATTTAGAATGAATAATCTTAACTAAGTTGTAGTGGTCGTGGCAAGGTTTCCGAAAATATAAAGAATGCCGAAATCCGAGTTATAACGAAGAAGTTATGACTTGTCGAAGTTTCGCGATAGAACCGGCACGACACAGCGCGACGTAAATAGTGAATTTATGATAGAGCGATATTTAGCCTTAGTGGTCTAAACTAAAGTCATAGAGTTCGTTAAATCGAGAGTGTGCATAAAAAGAACGTCTAAATCTGACTTCGTATGAGGAAGTTATGATTTTTCTAAGTTTCGACTTAGCGGTATGCAACCCAAATCTCGAAATTGAGATCGAGTGATATTTGGCCGAAACAATCTAAACGAGAATCGAAGATCTCGTCGTTAGTAGTCCAGCGGTAAAAAGACAGACGGAAACGGACGTCAGATGAAGAAGTTATGAATTTCTAACAGAGTTTTCGTGTCCCGGCCTACTAAAAATAATATAATAAAAAAAATCAAATCAAAATTAGCCGACGGAGTCTAAACGAGAGGTGTAGACCATAGTCTCACCTACGCGTGGACATAAAGAACGTCGAAATCGGAGATCGTATGCGAGAGTTATGATTTTCTGAAGTTCGAGGCGCGCATCCCAAAGGGGAACGCCCCGCGTTCAATTGGGGAACGCCCCGCGTTCGGAGCCCAGAGCCTGTCTCGTCGCCTGTCAAGTCCGAAGTTCGTAAGCAATGACGCACGGCGGAACGCGCTGCGTTCGTTCAGAGAACGCGCTGTGTTCGGAGGGTCAGCCTCCCCTATAAATAGAATGCAAGGTCTCCGGGATTTGTTGCTCATTTCTTCTCTCTCACTCCTTATTGCCTCGATTTGCATGCAATTTATACCCCCGAAGCCCTGGTATCATCCCAAGACCCGAAGCGAGTCCCGAAGCCCCAAAGATCCCGAGAAGTAAAGTTTCCGAGCCGAAACTCTGCCCACGAGAAGCCCGGTTTTTGTGAAGATCCCCCGGTTTCACTGAAGAAATACTACTCTTAGAGCCGTAGTGCTATCCGATCATTGTCTTATCAAGTGAGTGTGTAGTTACTTTCTTCTAACACATAAATATGAAGTATTTGCTATGAAATACGTGTTATGTGTTATGTATTGTTTGTTTATTTGTGATGGGTGTCGAATGAATGTTTTATACAGGTTTTTAAATGATTTAAACCGTATATGTATTTTATATCTACAAATATGTTGGGTAGAACATGGGTAGATGAAATACCTGGTGACTATGAGACGTAGTGCCTATTGTGTAAACCCTGGTGACTATGAGACGTAGTGCCTATTGTGTAAACCCTGATGACTATGAGACGTAGTGCCTATTGTGTAAACCCTGGTGACTATGTGACGTAGTGCCTATTGTGTAAACCCTGGTGACTATGAGACGTAGTGCCTATTGTACAAACCCTAACGACTATGTGACGTGGTGCCTGTTGTATAAATTGTGGAAGCAAATGGATTTTTGTGCCAATCCCTTAGGTCAATCCTTAGGAACGAATGAATGAAGGATAATTAACTCTTAGGGTAAAGCTTTAAGAAATAGAAGGAGATAATGGGGATGGGTAATTTGGGTTGATTGTCTGATGATTAAATACAATATAATATCTTACTGTGGGTTGAAAACCCTATATGCTCACCAGGCTCCCAAGCCTGACCCACTCAGTTTTCATTGTATTACAGGTAACGACACAAGAGTATAAATTGGTGGACTTGACGAGAGATTTTGGATAATAGACCAGTAGTTGTAAATATCTGTTGTAAGGTCTATTTTATACTGTTTATGCTTTTGGTCTGTATCGGAACATGACATCCATAGATTTTGTTATTTAATGAAAATACATTTCTTTAAAGAAATGCTTTGATAAATTCTTATCACATTTTGTTTTGGGAACAAATTCTGCAGCAGTTTTCTTTAAACGATTACTTTGATTTCAAAACAAAGCATAAACATATCGGTCTTTTCTGGCCGTGAAAAATGGGGATGTCACAACATTTGTCTTGGTCCTCCACTGCTCCTGCTTCAATCGTTGTCTGCTACGGCACGAATGAAGTTTTCCACTATATTTAGACTTTAATACAAGGCCATTAAATGACTCACCAACCACCTCAGCATGTCCTTGCCACATAAGCCAATTTAACCGGCTAAATCAAGGTCCCCGGTAACATAGGGCCGAAATGTTCAATTTATCCGGTTTTCTGAGTTTTTTTGTTCAAAAAAAAATATTGGGACAAAAGTGTAACTTTTCCCAAAACTTTGGGACTATTTTGAAGATTTCCCATTTTACTTCAATGAAATTGAAGTTTCAAAGTTAAGGGCCAACTTTGAAGGAAATGAAGAGTTTAGTGGTCGACATTTAAAAAGATGATAATAGACTAATCATACCCTCGAAACTGGATCAAACGAACCCGGCGTGATTTTGCCGCCACGACTGGGAATTGCCAATTCTCGTCCCCGACGAATGGAGACATCTGCACCATCTTCCTCGAAGCCGCGTCAATCACCTTTTCGTTACTTCTACTGCAACTGCTTCAAACGTTGTTGTCGTTGTTTCTGCTGTTTCTACTCTTACCCTTAAGGTTGTAACCTGAAACCCTAACTTCTTCTATATGCTAATTTTTAGATAGATCTCCACCACTTTAAACCCTAACATCTGAAATAACCAATTTTCCAAACTTCTAATTGGTTTTACCTCTATGTAGATTGGATTAGATGTTCTTAGTTTCACATTTTTGTTTCATATAACATGTGATGTGATACAATTACATTAATTCTGCTTGTTTACAGCTTTAAATCAGCTTGTGGGTACAATTTATTGTGCAAGCAGAAGCAGTTCAATGATTGAATTTGAAGAGGGTACCTTTTCTTCCATTACTTGATCATGAAATATAGTAAATGGTAGAAAAAGATGGGTAGCACTTAGCAGCCATTGATGTATATGAATCGTTAAACACTGTGTGGAATGGGAAGGGAGAATAGCTGAAAAAAATACCTTTTTGTTTATAAACTAACTGATAATTAATTAGTAATATTTTATAAAAATTAGCTTGATAAGCCAGAGGACAAATCAGAATTGAATTGTATAATATTTTGACATACTTAAATCATGAAGTCTGTAATAATATATATACTTAAATCATATAAAGTTATTTATTTCGTAACAACAAGAATATGTAGTTTACATTAACAAAATTTACGTCTCTTGTAAAGCTGGACAACTTGCTGTTGAAAATTGAAAGTTGATTACAAAGAGAAAAACCCAACAAGAAACCAAAGGATTCCAACTAAGATTTCAAGTCAAGCAAAGCTGTTAACTTCTTCCTTTGTAAATTTTTCATTAATTAATTATTTTCCGCGTCATTTTCAACACCACGTGAAATCCAATTTTATCCAATATTGTATTAGTACCTTTTCTTTAAGATGGTAATACATAAAAATAGTATCACATTCATACAAGATAAATTTTCAAATTTTGACTTTACATACTTCAACAATATGTCTAAGAACATTATTTTTAGTCATGTCTTTCAAAAATTTCCAACAGGTAGACAAAAACCAACTGAGCAAACATCCAATTAACAATCAAATATTCTTTTCTAAAAGATCCAAAAACCAAATGGAAAAAGATAAAATATTCATCTGTTTTGCATTGTATCGTACGTTGTTAAACAAGTCATTATAAGTTGTAATTATATTAATTTGTGACAATGCTAAAGATGGTTCATTGGTTGACACGTTAAAATAAGGTATCACTTTCCTTCCATGTCTTTCACAACGATACATTCTTCAACACACAGTTGTCCTCCCCAATCTCAACTCCCACCACCATCCTCCGTTCACCACCACCCTGCAACCACCATGGTCCACATAGCAAGATTTTACCAAGTTATCATAATTCAACTCATGTTTACCATGTTCATGTTTGTTAAGTCAGACATAGTAACACGAGAATTCTATGACGAGGAAAGGGATTCATTGATTCCATTTCGGGACTCTATGAAGTCCAGTTTCAATTTACATGGAAACTGGACTGGTCCGCCGTGTCGGACCAATATGAGCAGGTGGACGGGAATTGGGTGTACCAATTCCCATATAACTCACCTGACTCTGGAATCCATAAATTTATCAGGATCACTCCCGATCGGATTCCTACAAAACATTACCTTCTTATCAGAACTCAACTTAAACAACAATTCCATTTCCGGAGACCTTCCAACCCTCACCAATCTTACGAATCTGGAATCCGTATTCCTTTCCGGTAATCGCTTTTCCGGTCCCATTCCATCGGACTACCTCGACCTCCCGAAGCTCACTACACTCGAGATTCAGGAGAACGAAATCACAGGCACAATTCCACCTTTCAATCAGGAATCATTAACTTCTCTCAATTTGTCATACAATAAGCTTTCTGGACCAATCCCGGAAACAAAAATCCTAAAGAGATTCGGAATCAGTTCATTTGATCACAACACAGGGTTATGTGGAAAGCCTCTGGAAACACCATGCCCTTTTTCTCCACCTCCAAAAGACAAGAAGAAAACTCTTGAAATATGGAGTATTGTGTTGATTGCTGCAGCAGCTGCAATCGTGCCATTTTTTGTGATTTTGCTTTTGTTTTGTTGTTACAAAAGATTTCAAGAAAAAGCAGCTAAGAAACAGAAGGCCATTGGTACGTAATACGTTAAATATATAGTGCATGCCATGTGTTCGATGAAATTCCTGTAAAGCTGATGAATCTTATATGTACAGAGGAAAATCCTAATGAAGGTGTCGCTAAAGCTCAATGGTCGCGAAGCACGGATGATCCTGAAAAAACGAAAAATTTGGAGTTTTTTGACAAACATAAGCCAGTTTTTGACTTGGATGATTTGCTGAGATCATCGGCTGAAGTACTCGGGAATGGAAAACTAGGCACCACTTACAAAGCCACACTGGAATCGGGTATGGTGGTTGCTGTAAAAAGAATGAAAGAAATGAATTCCTTAAGCAAAAAGGAATTCGTACAACAAATGCAATTACTCGGAAAGTTAAAGCATCAAAACCTCGTAGAGATTGTTTCCTTTTACTACTCCAAAGAAGAAAAGCTAATCATTCACGAATTCATCCAAAATGGAAGCCTATTCGAGTTATTACATGGTTTGTATCTATCTGTCTGTCTATCTATCTATCTGTCTATATAACTTTATCTGGTAGTTGTTGAAATGTGTAGAAAATCGAGGGTTTGCGAGAGTACCACTTGAATGGACAACAAGGGTAGAAATCATGATGGATGTTGCAAAGGGTTTAATTTTCTTGGAACAATCTCTATCTTCACAAAAGGTGGCTCACGGAAACCTAAAATCGTCAAATGTACTTATCAACTTTACAGAAGAAACCGAAAGCGTACAAGCCAAGCTCACGGATTATGGCTGCTTTCCACTTTTACCCTCGCGAAGATCATCAGAGAAACTTGCAATTGGGAAGTGTCCCGAGTTTGTGGAAGGGAAGAAGATGACAAACAAAGCTGATGTTTATTGTTTTGGGGTTTTGCTGTTGGAGGTGATTACAGGGAAAGTAGCAGGGGATAATGATAATAATAACCATGAGGATCTTTTAGATTGGGTTAGAGGTGTTTTGAATAGTGACTGGTCAATGGACATATTTGACTTGGAAATATTAGGAGAGAAAGAAAGGCATGAAGATATGTTGAAGCTCGCTGAGTTAGCACTTGATTGTACTCACATTTCACCTGAAAGACGACCTAAAATGACCCAAATTTTAATCAGATTACAAGAAATCCATCAACCCCAAGTCGTCAACATAGAGGTTAACTCATAAAATGGGTTGCACTCTTAGTATGATATTCGTTTCAATCATGTATCTATTTAAAAAAAAAATTGTGAAAAGAAGGATTGTACAAATTACAAAGGTTTTTTCGGCTATCTCTGTCTAGTAAGCAAACAAGTGAAAGCTATAATACGTGTACCTAAACCAGTAGCAATAAGTAAACATAAACATTTGTTCGAGTTATGAATATCATAATCATAATGCTTCAATGCAGCACATCGTGTCATCAACCACACACCATTGTACCTGAAAATTTACATTTTAGTTTATGCACTTAGTGTTAAAATATTATTATCTCATAAGGTAATTAATGTCTAGAGAACAATAGAACATACTCTTTTGCATTTGCAATAATAAAAGCTTCCAAAGCCCATTTTGGAAACACAAATGGTGTTATAACCGAAACAGCAGAATTTTTGCTCTGATTCGCGATTAGGGTTAGAACAACAGGAAAAAGTACAGACCACTGTAGAGAGAAGAATATTATTTATTAAATTATTAAATTATATTTTTTTAATAAATGTTAGTACATACCAATTGGGCTTGACTAAACTGGAGGGAGATGGCGAGTGTATAGGCTATGCCGGTTACACAATAAACAAGGCAGACCAAAACTATATAATTTGACCCGAAGCTTGATCTTGGATAGTTGAAGAAATAGAATAAACAAAGATAAACTAAAGGCTTCATCACTGTATTTATATGGTCCATTGTATCTTTTGATAGAAAATACGATAAACTGTTCATCCCACTAGAGCTTTCCCTTTTATACTGTAGTTTATCCAGTGAAAACGTTCTCAAAGCTCCAATCATGCATAACAGTGCTACAAATTAAACATTAATCCAAATTAAAAGTTTGTTAAATTCAATTCAAATTCAAATTCGTTTTTTGTTTTTCACCACTTACATACAGCAATGACTGTGTACTGATAACCAGTAGCCCCAAATGTGTCGTCTGTCACTTTCGCCATTGTTCCTAAGCATGTTCCCGCCAATAAAAGAATCAGATAATCTGCAGCTTGTACTCTTCCCTCACGTAATCGTTGCCGGAAAACCCTAAATTTCATATGCACAAGTTAAAAGTGAACGGAAAAATAGTATAAATTAACTAATCACTCACCTTTCGAGGTAATACTTATACTGCGTTAAAACTCCGGGAGTTACTCTGCCGGATAAATCTGGAGTTCTGAAGAAACTATACGTTGGAACATCTCGTTGGATTTCACTGGTTTTGGCTTCGGGATTTGAAGGTGAAGGTGAAGAAGAAGAACTCTGATCGCAGAGATGTAACATATCAGGGGGTACTCTGTATCCGTTATGAAGCATCCATCTTACCGGAAGTTGCTGAGCTGTCACGCCGCCGTCTGGCTTTATCATACCTTCGAGAATATCGATTAAATAATCCGGTGTATTTACACGCTCTGGTATCGTAATCCCTAACCCTGCGAAATACTCTTCCACCTTTTTCACAGGTCCATGGTAGACTGTAATTCCGCCTTTCGCCAGAAGTATCAAGTCGTCAAACATCTTGTACAACGAGTAACTGAAGAATTAAAAGAAATTAAAACCCGGTGAGTTTTTCGCCGGAAATGCGAGATGGAGAATTTTCCGGCGACCTTACTTACTTACCTTGGTTGGTGAACGACCATGCTGATGTTAACACCTTCAAGAGCTTCACGACGAAGAGCTCTAAGAAGCAAACTGGAAGATGAACTATCGAGACCTGACGTCGGTTCGTCTAATATCAACAACGAGGGTTCCATCACCATTTCCAATCCGACGTTTACTCGTTTCTTTTGGCCTCCGGAAATCCCTCTCTTTTCCACTGTTCCAACTGTGGAATTGCGTATTCCCTGGAGTCCTAATGACTCAATTACTCTTTCGATTATAAGAACTTTATCGTGTTTTGGCAAGTCAGCGGATAGTCTTTAAAAATTCAAGAAAAAAGTCAAAATTAGTCAACTGGTCAAACTATAAAGGTGCTAGTTCAGTAGCTTCTGATTCTCTCTCTAAGAATGCATACCTACAGCGAGCACTGAATCGGAGATTCTCTTCCACTGTCAAATCGCCATGAACGATGTCATCTTGGGGGACAAAACCGACGATTTTCTTGTAAGAATGAATGGATTCGTTTTTTCCGTTGACCAGAATCATCCCCGACATGGTGCATCCAGTTATCTTTCCGGTGAGAGCAGAGAGGAAGGTGGTTTTTCCGGCGCCGGAAGGACCCATGACTGCAGATATTCTCCCCGGCATAATTTTGCCACTAACAGATCGCATAATATATCTCTGTTTCCCTTTCAGAGTCAAAGTCAACTCCTGGAAAGCAATCTCAATCCGAGGTCTTTTCCTAATATCATCACCTTTTCGTTGTGCCATCGAAAGCAATCCCGAAAACGTCATGTTCTTATTCATCTCCTCCATTTGTTTCTCCTTCTCGATTTGACCATACGCGTATTTATATATTTTGCTTTTCGTGTGAAGATCTTTCTTCGTTTTCCCCTTTTTCTTCGTGACATCTTCCAAACTGAACCAACTGTTGTCGTCATTGTTGTTGCTGGATCCATCGTCCATCGACTCCAACATTTCGTTGAGTTTCGATGTTTCCTTTTTACTTCCGATTGAAAAGGGATTGGGGATTTTTGGTTTTGAATCGTGTCTTGCACTTGTTCTTCTTGAAATGGTTTTCGAGAGCTGTTGTTGTAACCCTAATAAGTCTGAGGATTTGGCCATTTCTTTTGCAGCTTGCCATCTTTCTCTCGCTTGAACTGTTTCTCGAACGTGTTTTGCTGCTGCTTCTCGGGATTTGGCCTGTTTTTTGTAGCGAGTTGACATGAGTTGGTCTGAGCAATTATACACGATAATTAGTATAGCCGTCAACAAAACCTACAAAAACAATAATGAAAATGCCACTAGTTTAATTATTATTATTCTCAATTTTTGACAAATAACAACTTTTTGAGAACAAATAAGAGATCAATTACTTACAATGAGCATGATTCCGAAAGCCTTCATGCTTGGAATGTTTGTCTCTTTCTCACACCTTGATCCAGCAAAACAAACTGCACAAATATCATATGTTAGATCATAGGAGTATTTCACAAAATAGCAAATATGTAACGAATATAATATATAATATGATATTATGAATAGAACTCACGCTTGCTTTTGACAGAGCCCATCCTGCAGTAACGCCTGCAACCAAACAAAAACTTAGATGTCATCAAAGAAAATCTTGATATCAAAGAACATAAAAATCAGTGAAGGGTGTGAAAGTACAATAATACCCTTTGGGGCAAGGGATTTCCTTAATTGTGGTTGGACAATAATGCCCTGGCGCACAAAAAATGTCACTACCCATCTGTACAGGACCCCACATATCAGCCGCTCCACAAGTGTAATTTGGCTTTCCTGCAGGTTGTTGGTAGTGGTATCTGAAAATTTTCTCAACCCATTTATGTCTTAGTAATCCATATAAACCATAATCAAATCTTAAAAACTATAAGAAAAGAATTCCAAAATAGCATATAATAGTATAACTTACGGATCACAAATTCCACTTTTTTTATTCAGCTTTGCAACAGGACAATATGCACCCAAAGGGCATGCTTCAGTCACAAATTGACAAATATTTGTCAATAACAAGCAAAAAATACATTTTTTATGAAGAAAATGGTTAATTAGACACTTACGAATCATGCAAGTGAGACCTTGAGGACAGAAAAACCCTTCACAACATGGTTGACTGTTATCTGTTCTGAAAGGGATTTTACGTGGATCTGTCTCATTGAATTCATATTTCTGGCCTGGATTTACAGCGCTAGCCCATCCTGCCTCACATCCTCTTGTCCATGATGTCAGATTACAGTTTCTGTTAGGGTCCAAGAAATGAGCTTGTGAAATGCTTTTTGTGGAATCATCGACTTCTTTTATAAAACTTGTGAAGTATACTCTAAGTTCAGCTGCTGTACATAATCTCTTTGCAAGATCTGTTTTTGTAAGCTATTAGTAGTATGCATAATTGCATATAGTGGATGCATCATGTATGTAAATTGTAAAGGGTTTGTTTCTACTTTGTACCTTTGAACTTCACTTGACAATTTGTGAAGAATTGGTCTTTGCCTTCGAAGTTGAAAGCTCCGTTTATGTCTTTGTCCCTAGAACATAATGGAAATTGTGAACATACGAAGTGGAATGTGAAATTGGAGGAGATTATGAGTGGTGCATATTACTCGATACTCACACATCTTCAGTGCAATAGTGTAGGGTTCTTTGAATTGAAGTTTTGTATCTCCTAATCGACTTGTTGAATTGTTGAGAAAGGAAATTTGAAAACAATGGGGCAATTCTAGGTCGTTTATTGTTCGCAGGAGGATCATCGGGGTCGTCTTGACAACGAACACAACGTGGCAGATAACCCGAAACAACGAGAATGAGGATCAAACATCCGATCGAAGAGGTGATTGCCTTCTTCTCTCCATTCATCTTCTCGTGCATACTGCAATCGGAATCATGACTTCTTTTCCCGGGAAACAAAAAACGAGGAATTAGTTTGGGGAGGAATAGGGAATCAATCACCGTGTTTCTGTTTGTTCGAATTATTCAGGTTTTAGGTTGCGAAATGGGGATTGGGGATAAGTCTTGAAGATGATGAACCCATGAAATTTTGACCAGAGGTTGAATGATTTTGAGTTGAATTGACAAAAGAGGAGGACGTTGGTCAATGAAGGTGTGTTTGTTGTTGAGAAGATTGGTGATGGATTGAGAATCGAGAGGGAGGCCATGGTTTTTGGCGGAAGAGATGGTTAGGAGAAAGGTGAGGCGACAAGCCAGGGATCTGGAGGGATTCGCAGATTCAAGTGACCACCATTTTATACGTGTGTGGTAAATCAGCTTTTTTTTTTCTTTTGGTTTTAACTTTAAGAAAAAATTCATTCACTTCCTTTGCAAACATTAAATATTAGGTATATATCATTCCAATATTCATAATTACGTATATATCTTCTTAACCTATTAAACTCACATTTATATCCTATTTTATAATTTATTGAGATATAAATCAATTTAATACCAACAAATATATTTAAAAATATAAAATGTATATATAAATCTACCAAAATACTCTTTGTAAATTATATCCCAAATTAAATACTATTACTTTTTGCTAGAAATTGTTAATGAGAGGCAAAATTAAGTCTCAAACCAAAATACACTATATGCTGCCTGAATAAATTTCTTCATTGACCTCATACATGCGATTTCATTACCGGCAATGGATAGTATGCGTTGTATATGAGAATTCGGTAAGTCAAAAATATTTTCTGATATATGACCAATTTAAATATAAAAGACTATTAAAGTTTCCAAGTTGCCGGTTATTTATGCATGTATCACGAATCTATTGAAGCAGGTATATTAATTAACGTGCATCACGATTATTTGTGAGGTTTCAGTTGTTTAACAAGGCTTAACTTGCATATTGTAACTAATGATTATTTGGATTTTGACGTGTTCGAGATCATGAAGGTTTTTGTAAATCATATGTTTGAGGTTTTTCTTTATTTAATTAGGTTTAATCTTAATTGGATTCATTTTGTTCTATTTATATACATACTAATTGAGAAGTCCTTGCTCAACAGGATTTTCTTTTTCCTTTTTATGTTGTGTTATTTGTCTTTGTCTACAAAAATTTTTAATACTGGATCTCAAAGTGGATTACACGTGTCTGTTTTGTTTAATGGTGGGTGTCTGGATTATTGTTTAAACACGTGTTATGTTACGTGGTGTTTTCTGTTATGTTACGTGGTGTTTTCTATGTACCTCATCTATCTTCTTCATCTTCTCACCGCCTCCCACATCCACTTACCTTTCACCGCTTCAAACCCAAGATTTTGGACATAATCGATCCATCCTATTTCTTTTATTCCATCCTTCATGGAATCTCATTACCCACTGCTTCGCTGTCGTTTCTACTGCTGCCATCGTCGGCTTCCTTTTGTGTCCTATTGATTCCGATTTAGGCTTTCACGACGGAACTGCAACAAGCGAAGTGATGCAGCAGCCCCGACCATCATGAATTTGGGCGTTATCAGAGCCCAATTCCTTTTTCCCCTTCTTTGTCTTTCCAACTTCTTAGGTATGTTTATACTATTCATCTTTTTTCTATTTCATCTGAAAAATTCATGAATTTTGTTGCAGAGGGGTATTGCTGGGCAAGAACAATAGAGAGGCAACCATGAAGATTGAGATCGGATTATTTGAAAGTGGGTCATGCCGGAATTGCCCCTTTCTCTGTCACAGTCCCATCGATAGGTGAAATGGGCATACATCTTCTTAGTTTTCACAAATTAAAGATATTGGAGTTACAATCTCTTAGTGACATATTGCTTTTGGATCTATTTTTTAATCCTATTTCACTCCAATCGGTGCGGAATGTACTTTGCTCTCCATCAAGGTTTTTTTATTGCTCTTCGTTTATGCGTTAAAGAGTTAGGTTGTGGGTTATATATATATATATATATATATATATATATATATATATATATATATATATATATCAATCTGTGTTAGATTTGAATGAAAGAAGAAAGAAGAACTTGAGAGAAAGTTATTCTCTTTCAAAAAACTGATCGATCGATCAGAAAAACATACAAAAGGGATATAACCCGAATTCAAAATAAAACTACCAAAATAACATAAACTACCCCTATACTATCAAGACATTTACAATTTACATTTAATATGAAAATATTAATCTAACACCCCCCCTCAAGTTGGAGGGTAGGAAAGTAGCCCCAGATTGCCGATAGCATTCTTGTGATTTGTTCCGGATAAAGCTTTTGTGAACACATCTGCGTGTTGATTAGTAGTGGAGACATGAGTTAAAGAGATTAAGCCTGCTTGTAGTTTTTCTCGCACAAAATGACAGTCCAATTCGATGTGTTTTGTTCTCTCGTGGAAAACAGGGTTTTTGGCAATGTAAATTGCTGCCAAGTTGTCGCATTTTAAGGGAATGGGAGTGATGTCAGGCACACGAATCTCAGTGAGAAGACGGCTTATCCATGCCAATTCTGAACATACCCTTCGCATAGATCGATACTCTGCTTCCGATGAAGACAATGAAACAGTGTTTTGCTTTTTGGACTTCCAAGAGATTGGACAATCACCAAACATGATAAAAAAAACCACTGACAGATTTTCTTGTGATTGGGCAAACAGCCCAATCAGAGTCACAGTAGGCCTCTACTTTGAAAGATGAATTTGAGTTAAAAAAATAATCCTTGAGTTGAAGTGCCATGCAGGTATTGTAAAACATGAATAGCAGCATCATAGTGAGATTGACAAGGATTTTGGTTGAATTGGCTCAAGTGTTGAACTGAGAAAGACAAATCAGGTCTTGTGTGTAAAAGAAAATTTAGTTTACCAATGAGTTGTCTATAAATGGAAGCATCCGGTAGAGGATCAGGCATGTTAGATAGGAGTTGTGGTTTCTGTGGTAGTGGCATGGAGACTGTTTTTGAACTGTGAATTGAATACAGATCCAGTAACTCTTTGATGTATTTGTGTTGATGAATAACCATACCTTTGTCAGTCTTTTGAAACTCCAGACCTAAGAAGAAACTGAGTTGGCCAAGGTCTTTTATCTTGAATTCTTCATCTAAAAATGTTTTGAGAGAAAGAATTTGAGACACATCATCTCCTGTGACAAGAATATCATCCACATACACGGCCACAATTACAGTTTTGTCCCCACTTTTTCTGAGAAATAATGAGTAGTCATTTTTGGATGGAATGAAGCCTTTGGTTCTTAAAGCAACTGATAACCTAGCATACCATTGGCGACTTGCTTGTTTAAGTTCATATAAGGACTTTTTGAGTTTGCAAACAAGAGAAGGCGAAGAAACTGTCAATCCAGGTGGGACCTTCATATAAACATCTTCATGTAGCTCTCCATGTAGAAAAGCATTGTTTACATCAAATTGATGTATATTCCAGCCCTTTTTGAGTGCCAAAGCAACGATGGATCTGATAGTAGTGAACTTGACAACTGGAGAGAATGTTTCATGGAAGTCAATTCCATGTTTTTGTGTGAATCCCTTTGCAACTAAACGGGCTTTGTACCTTTCAATGCTGCCATCAGCTTTCTGTTTAATTTTGTAGACCCATTTACAAGAGATAGGCTTCTTCCCTTTTGGTAATTTGATAATATCCCATGTATGATTGAGATCAAGAGCTTGGAGTTCAGTTTTCATTGCAGCCTCCTATTCTGGTTGACCTTGAGCCTGATTATAAAATGCAGGCTCGACAGGATGGGTGATAGTGTGAAAAACATGACTGGTAGGAGGATAAATGGAGGATAGATGTGATGACTCATCAAAACTGAAATTGGTTACAGTATGAGGACATAGGTTGGAATTTACATGATTACATACAAAATCATTTAAGTATGTTGGAGGATGTGAAGGTCTAGTGGTTCTCCTGAGAGGAGGATCTGATTGATTATTGGATGAAGGAGAGGTGACAGGCTCAGATTCGGTGGAATTGATAGGAAGAAATGATGGTGAATTGGAGGAATCCTGCTGGCTAAAGGACTTCAAAGGGTAAATGTTCTCAAAGAACTTAACATCCCTTGATATAAGATTTCTTTGGTCTGAATATCTAGGCACTTATATCCCTTTTTGCCTATTGGATATCCTATGAAAACACAAGAAGTTGATCTTGGCATAAATTTATCTCTGCCTACAGAAGAGGTAGAGACATGACAGAGGCACCCAAAACTTCTGAGATATTCAAGATGTGGTTTATGATTGAACAGAATTTCAAATGGTGCTTTGTGATTGATGATTTTTGATGGCATTCTGTTCATAAGATGAATGGCTGTCATGATACACTCACCCCAGTATGCAATACCCAACCCAGATTGAAAGAACAGTGCACGAGATATCTCCAGAATTTGTCTGTGTTTCCTCTCTACTAATCCATTTTGTTGAGGTAAATGAGCAATAGAAGTTTGATGTATGATGCCTTGATTTTTAAAAAACTCATGACCCTCATTACTTGATCCCAGTTCATAGGCATTATCACTTCTAATGCATTTGACAGTTTTGGAGAATTGAGTTTGGATGAGAGCAATAAAAGCCTTAATTAGAACAAAAGCATAGCTTTTGTGTTTTAACAAATGAACCCATGTGTATCTGGTGTGATCATCCACAATGGTTAAGAAATATTTGTGGCCATCACATGTAGAATGTTTGTAGGGACCCCAAATATCTATGTGAATTAGATCAAATGGATTAGAAGTGACAGAGATACTTTTAGGAAAAGGTAACTTATGTTGTTTGGCCTTGGAACAAATATCACACATATCAATCGAATCAACAGAAGTAGAAGAAGGAATTAATGAAAGGGAATGTAACTTCTTGATTGGAATATGGCCAAAACGTTTGTGCCAAAGTACAGAATTGAAACAAGATTGTTTGACAAGATTATATAAAACA